TTTTGTATTGAGATGCAAAATTAATTTCAGCTCAAATAATTTCAGAAATAACATTTTTAGCCCTCATTCATTATTTTTATTTTTGTATGTTTATGTATTTCTGAGACAGGGTCAGTCTCACTATGTATCGTAGACTGGCTTCTGATTCATGATCTTCCTGCCTTACCCCTCCATGTTTCAGAGTTTTAGTCATGTGCTACCATGCTGGCCTTTATAATATCTTTGTTTAACAAAGGGTTTTGTGTTGTTTTGTTTTGTTTTTGTGCTGAGGATTGAACTCAGGACCTTTCATACATGCTATACCACTGAGCTATACCCACAGTCCCCACAAAGATTTTTTTCAAGAGAAAACCTTCGGATAATTTGTCTTTGGGATTTGTAAGACTACTTTATCAACTTTAACTGCAGCAAAGTTGTTAGATTTCTCTATTTATTTCCATTCCATAATACAAATATTCAAAGTATGATTATATTATAGCAATCTCCAATTTTTAAAAAAAACTTTCAGATTCTCAACATTTAATATATTTTATTTCTTCCTGGTTTCCACAGAGATAATTTTATGCCTTCCTTCCTATTTGAAAGCTTTATTTTTAGTAAACAGAATTCCCTAAGCTTCAAACGCTATTCTTTTGATGCTCCAGTGTTTTGATTAAATGTTGCAACTGATTTGAACAAAATGATACTCAAATTTAAAGCATGAGTTGCTAAAATTTCAATACTATTGTTAAGAAAAGATTGAGTCACAGAGTAGTTCTTCAAAGGCTCAGACATTTTAATAAATCTTATTGATACAAGAGAACAAAGAAAGTAATGTAGAAGTTTTTTCTTGTATTCAACATCAGCTTTGTGACAAAGACTTTGTAGTCAATTATTCTGAATGGGCAGATAGATGATAGACAAATAGAGATACTTGTAAGTTTCAATAGCTGTAACTATTTGTTTTTATTTGTAGAATATAGCAGTATGTTTGTGTATGATTATAAATTATGTATGTATTGCAATCAGTCCCAAATGCACTTCTGCCCCATAAGTTTCTTACATTAGTGACAATTATTTTCATTTCAGTGCTATACTTCACAAAAATTTGCATTTAAAATACAATCCTAAGCAATAGAGAAGGAAATCAGATAGTGTTTTCCTAGGCCCAAGAAGTAGGGGATTGATTGTGAAGAGCTATGAGGAAGTTTTCTGGAGGTGATAAATTGTTCTGTATTTTGTGATGGTGGTTATTAAAGTCAATTTATTTTTTTAGAACCCACTCGAACATACACATAAAAACAAATGTAGAGGATTAGGGATACAGGTGAGTGGCATGTTTAGCATGGATAAGATGCTGAATTTGATCCTTAGCTCCAGAAATAAAAAAGAATTAAAGTGGGATGCAGATTATTAATGGGTATAATTTAATAGGGAAAGTAATGATTTATTTATTTTGCAGTGTTTGAGATTAAAACCAGGACCTGACACATAGCAGTGAGGAACTCTCTCACCCAGCTACATCAGCAGCCCCAGAGGAGTAACTTTAATGTTCTACAGTGGAACTATGGGTTGACAACCATTTATTGTATATTGCAAAATAGCGGACAAGAAATGGTTTTGAATATCCTTAATACAAAGAAATGATACATATTTGAAGTGATGAGTGTGTCAGAATTGAAATACTACACTGTACCCCATCCGTATGTACAATTATAGGTCCTTCAAATTTTTCAAAACTCTTTGCTCGGTATCAGGGATCAAACTCTGGTGATCAAACTGAGACACACTCCTAGCCTTCCCCTTTCTAAAAATTTTTATTTTGACCCAAAGTCTCACTAAGTTGCCTTGAATTTGTGATCCTCCTGCCTTAGCCTCTCAAGTAGATGGATTGCCATGCCCAGGTTCTATATATTTCTTTCCTTTTTTTTTTTTTTT